TTTGCATGGTAACTAATAAGAGTGTTAAAACGGTTGTGGAACATTATGTATACTTTAGTAAGTATAAGGGGATTAGCCATTGTTCTATTGCTTGCTTTTAAAGTTAATCTTCTTTTACTCTCAGTGATGTAGAAAATTAGTTGAATGTCTTTTTTATTAGGTCAAGAAGGTATACACGCACTGCAAGTATTAAATGCATATTGACCGTTTACAATGATGACTGGCATTATTTAATAGTGCAATTATTTTCTCCTATTTATTAATGATTTTAAAGAATGAAATCTGCATCGGTTCATTTTTACAAAAAAGGGGCGTTATCTAAAATTTTGGCAAAAGATAATTTCGAACACAATTTCCTGTTTCTTATAAAAAGTGTTTATGTAAACACTTAACGTCAAGCGAGATATATGTTTAACATTATTAGATCGGGATCGTTATACGCTAAATAAAATTAGCGGTAAAATCAACGTAGGCTGACGTCACTGATAAAAATGTTTACGTTGACGTCAAAACAGTGCAGGTACACCTTATTTTTTCTGTTGGTAATGTCGTTTGTAGAAAACGAACTTGAGAATACAGTGATGGCTAATTAATTAATTAACGTGGTTTTTCCACTTTACACGAGTTTGGAGATACCCATCATCCCAAGAAAAAAGTGATTTCTAGTTTGGATTTTGCTTGTGATGATTTGTGTTGATGTGAATTTGATATGGGACGTTTTCTTTGTCATTATTTAGATAATAATTGCTTTTAGTGATTTTACAAATTACACTATCAGTTATATCCTTCTGGTAGATCTATCTCACATGTTTCGGTTATCCTTTTTTCCGTGAGAAAAATATATATATCAAAGACAAAGTATGAGCTTATGCAGGTGGGGATTTTAGACTGCATTATGAACACGTGTTAGTCTTGGGTCCGTTTAATAAAAAAAACTTATGACTAAGACCAAAATTTAATTCTGCTTATATCTTTCTTATAAAGATGAAATATTGATTTTAGTCTTATAGAAGGCATAAAATATGATATAGAAATATATTTTCAAAATAGCAATTAAATACAGAATCCTTAGTTTTGTAAAATAAAAATAGTACAATTAACTTTAGTTTTTGGTCTTAGTTGTAATTTTTTTTTTAAATCTGACCCCAAAGGAAGGCCCTAGTGGGGGTCTGGGGGGTTATCTCCCAATATATTATGAATTCTCAGCATTTCTGACAACTGATTGCTGAATAGAATAGAGTAATATTTATTACCATATCAGGACCCAACAGGCATAAACATATTACATATAGCATATATCATTACAAAAACATGATCAAGTACAGACAAAATACAAAAAATACTGAGGAGCAATTCTTCCATTCAGTATCGTCATTGTCAAAAAGTACCTCCCTTTTCATGATCAGATTATAACATATATCCAAGCTTTCTATTTTAAGCCATTTATATACTCTGTGTACAGTAGATATTAAACAGAACTGTCTTTACTTCAAGAGTAGAATTAAATTACTTTTAATATTTTTCAGATGAGCTAATATATCAACATAAATTGACTGTTTCTTGTATTTGAGAGGAGAGAGACTTTTCTTTATGAATTCATATCAATGTAATATTAATAGGTACATATATATATATATGAAAACATTATATTTATGTACATGTATGTAAATGCATGTTATGGTGATCTTAAATTTCATCCCTTTTCAATGCTTTATTTTAAAATGATTTGGAAGTATTGTACAGTACAATAACATCTAAAGGCATGCCCATGCTTTAAATGAAATTTACTACTTTTCAGACATGATGGATAGAAAACCTTAACTTCACCATGACAGAAAACTTGAATCCATCAGATGTTGAGCAATATCTGATCAAGAATCCAGAATTTCTGAAGACTTACTTAAGTAAGCATGGTGCTCCGGACATCACACACAGGGACGGCAGCCATTCGGAGCCTTCCTCCCCGGAGGTCAAAATTAAAAGACTCCCAAACTTCACCAGCGGACGGGGAAACTCAATTACAACATCCATATTCAAAAAATATGTGGAAGGCAACTTGGAGAGAATTAAAAAGACCTCCAAAGACAGGAATCAGTTACTTAGTATGTCAGAGGATGAAGTGTTTATGGAACTTATCAGGGATATTGCTACAGAATTGGATGTGAATGTATTGTGTCATAAAATTCTTAAAAATGTTAGTATTTTAACTAGAAGTGATCGTGGGAGCCTATTTTTAGCGCGAGGATCTAAAGAGAATCGATATTTAGTGTCAAAACTCTTTGATGTGACAGAAGTATCCACCATTAACGAGAGCTTACACACTGAGGAGACAGAAATAATCGTGCCGTTTGGGAAGGGAATCGCAGGATTTGTGGCCCAGAGCAAAGAGACTGTTAATATCAAGGACGCATACGAGGTTACCTATCATATCAATATTTATCATATAAAGTAGTTGATTACAACTTATACGAATTGTAAAATGAAAAAGAAAAATTGAGAGGGATGTAATTTTTTTTCCCTCAATTATGTAGTTCATTTTTTTGAATTTTTATTTTTACCTAACTAAGGAAACATTTAAGAAAGTCCATGGTTACAAGAAGTAGAATTTAAATATTCCATTACATTTTATACCAGAGGAGTTGGCATCCCTGTCAGTTTCAACAAATTAAAAAAAAAAGAAGAAAAATCTCATACGTTTTAAAATGTATTTTGAAAAATTGTGTAACAGATAGGAAGTACTAATTTGGATCTTGACTTTGTAGGATCCAAGGTTTAACAAGGACGTGGATCAGAAGACCGGCTACCGTACACACAGTATTCTATGTATGCCTATACTGAATTACGAAGGCGAGGTTATAGGTGTGGCGCAGATTATCAACAAAGTTACAGGGAACCACGAGTTTACAAAACAAGATGAAGATGTAAGTAACAAAACAAGGTCCAGCTACCCTGAAGTCTCTAAGTTGGATTTCGGGAAATATTTGCTTGCAATTGATATTCAGTGATAAATAACTTGAATACTAACAAAAATTATAATGAATGAAAAGAATTCATAATGCATGATTTGATAAACTATTGACACCTGCATGTGTTATAAATTTTAAAGTATATAAAAAAAAATTAATGCAAAATATCAGTTATTGTAAATTGAAACAAGTACCAGGTACTGTGCAGTTTGGGATATAACTCCTGATCAACAGAAATATGCCACTCAAACAAAATAAGAAAGAACTACATTAAAATGGGATTTTGCTTTTTTTGTGACACACTGTTAGTATTATAATGTTAAAGATTACAATGATATTGTATTATTTTAACTTAAAAGAAATTTAAGTACTACATGCTTTAAATAAAAATGAAGAATTGTGAAAATTCTGCAATATATTTAAGATTTTATGATATCACCATTTATCACAATGGAGCTGTAACTTGTTGTTGTGTTTGTAGGTGTTCAGGAAGTACCTCATTTTCTGTGGGATTGGGATAACTAATGCTCAGTTGTTTGAGTTGTCAGTGCAGGAGTACAAGAGGAATCAAGTAAGCTTACCACAATAATCATCTGTCATTATACCCCCACCCCGCTCGAAAAGCTGGGTATATAGTGATTGGGATGTCTGTCCATCTGTCCTTCTTACGCTTTGGCGTACCCTTCTCCTATCCACTACTCTCCTTTTACCACTGAATGATATTTAAGGGGACTTTCACTGAATCTTTGTTACATAGTGCCATTGTGCACCACCTATTTTACTTTTTGATAGAACACGTTATTTGGGTTTCCTATAGCAAAATATGGATACTACCATTCTTTCTATAATATTGAAAAGAACCCATCTTTTTTCAAATAAAATTATGTGTAACTGTTTGTTTTAGTCAGTATTATGAAAATCATGATCATTAGAATTGCTAGGATTTGAAGACACATTGTTTAAATTACATGTATATATTAATTTATCTACTCTTTGATTAAGAGTTCTAAATAATTTAAAATAGGTATGTTAAATTTATTAATCATTTGTGTGTATTTCATGAAAATTATATGAAATATCATTTTCTAGTGAGAAAATTCTGAATTCCATTGAAGGCCAAGGTCCTATTTCAAAATGTAGAGGAAAATCTCAGTTCAATAATGTCACTTGTATACCACTGTATTTATGCATACATGTGCTCTAAATAAGATTTCTCTTTTATCTTGATTTTATATGAGAACTTAGAATTCATGTTTTCTTTAAGATTTAAGCTCATGCACTAAAAGAATCTTTTCATTATTCAAGTACCCAGTACACTTATTATTGTATAAACAGAAAGTTTTATTAACATGATATATTTTTACAGGGAAATTGTAGTCCTTAGTTCAGTGTAATACCATATAACACAGAGGTGCTAATGCTGTATTTTTACATTAATTCAGACCCATTTTTGTTGTAAAATCTTGGAGACTGGATGGGTATATTGAGTTATGTTTGTACGTTTATTGGATGGTATTGATGTAATGGTAACGATCCATGCTTTCATCTAACAATACACATTTAAACCCTTTTGCTGTGCATTTATTAGGCAAATGTTTATATATTAGCAAGCATTGGACATGAGCAAACAACAGTGTAGAAAGGTTTCAACTGAAGTAAGGCCTTTATTACAGGGATTTAAATACCTTTATTCACATTTAAACTTCACATTATTGTCAAGGTCAAAATTGAAAGAGTCATTTACATATCATATTAGGACCACTTTCTTTACCCTATCTAATATACATTTGTATATATACATTGTTAACATTTGATATCTACGGTAATCAAAGACTTCTAGATATCGTTTTATAATCATTTCACCTCAGTCACTAAACTTTAAGTTAAAATAATGTTAAAGCTTCAGCCAAAAATATATTTTACAAAAGAATTTTTTGTTTGCTAATTAAACGTATGGTATTGCATGTATAACTGTGTTTTTAGGACCTTTTTACAGAAGGATTTTTTTTTATAAACCATCTGCACATGCAATGAATGATAAGCTGATGATCCTACTCCCAATTTCAATGGTTAAAGTGAGGGTTATTATTTTTTAATTAGATGCAGCATAATTTATATTTTGATGCTTTCTTGAATATATCCAAATACACCAATTTTTCCATAAAATTTGAGAACTGTTAAATTCATAAAGCCAATCCAATACTGTGGAAGTACAATGTATATGGGCACTCATAAGGAACTTTCTTAGACCTCAGAAAAAAAAAATTAATTGTTCCACAATAAATCTTATATTATCCAACCCAAATGTTTTTTTTTAATTTGAAAAATATGGAAATTGTGCATCATTACATTTTCCTTTTGATGTTACCATTTATAGATGATAAGGACAGTTTTTAGAGCTACTGAGACTCAGCAAGGTGGTTAGAAAATCCTCAAATTGTCTTTGAAAATGCATTTCAAAGTTATGCCTTCATACCATAAAAACAAAATCCAAGGCCACATTGAAAAAGTGTTGCCCTCTCCTGGCAGACTGGCTAAAAATGCTTGATTCAAAATTTTTTAACCTGGCCAGGAAATATATATTTTTTACCTGAATTTACCTGAATTTTCCTATTCTGCCAAGATAAATGTTGAAATTTTCTGAGAGAAAAATATTTTCCCATCTACTTACCAACTCAATTTTTTAAACCTAATTAGTTATAAGGCAAACAAACATTATTTTAAAGATCACCATACCTTCCAACCCTACATGTATATTTCATAAATAAATCATCATATATATTTTTTCTTAGGCATTATAGACAATGAAAATATTAATTCTCTACATTAATGATTAAATTTAAATGTTAGAAATAAGGCATTTGGTGAAAATTCAATCAAAGGTCTATAGTTAGAGATATTTAGTGAACTTTCAATGGGTCTCAGTAGTAAGGGCTACCTAAGAACCTAGCTCTAAATACAGGTCTATAGTTGGGTCCTTTAGTGAACCTCTTGCTCTGTGTGTTACAGCTCGTACTGAACCTTGCCCATGGGTTAGGGTTAATTACAGGTCCATAATTAGGCCTTTAGTGAACCTCTTGTTCTGTGTGTTACAGCTGCTACTGAACCTGGCGTGTCGGGTGTTTGTCAGGTGCAGACTTGCCTGCATTAGCTCTATATGTAGGTCTATAATTAGGCTCTGTTGTGAACCTCTTGTTCTGTGTGTTACAGCTGCTACTGAACCTGGCGTGTCGGGTGTTTGTCAGGAGCAGACTAGCCTGCATTAGCTCAATACATAGGTCTATAATTAGGCCCTATAGTGAACCCTTGCTCTCTCTGTTACAGCTATTGCTGAACCTGGCCCGTGGGGTGTTTCAGGAGCAGACTAGCCTGGAGAGACTGATACAGAAGGTGATGCTGGACTCCCAGGACATGCTGAAATGTGAGCGGTGTACTGTATACCTCACCGAGGACTCCACCAGCAAGGTGATTACCCCCACACTCCTCATTGCTTGTATCTGCTTTATATATGTACCAACTGCACAGTATGACAAGGAATTCAAAGTTTTACATTGCTAAATGCAGGTTATAAAACTGCAGATCTGTTTAGCTTGAGAAGTTTATAGGATTGCAGTGGATATGTTCTTGGTCGTATTTTGGCATAATTTTTGTCTAAAAGATATTTTAACATATACAGGTATCTATGTTGAACTTTTATGTTGTTCTTTTTATTACTAATTAACTTTTGCATGTGTTTATTAGCCTATTATTATATTTTTGATATGGCTTGATAGCATTACATTTGTGCTATATATATGATAAGCAGAAGTTGATATAAATTAAGTCTAATATGATATATATATTTTAACTATTGAACCCCTGAAGGTAAAGAAATGAAGTCTCGATATTATATACAGTCTGAATTTAATTAGCTAAATTCATATGATTTTCTTTAGCTTTTAATTTAATAAAATTATATCAAAATGACTTCAGAACATTTTCTGTTTTTCTAGCAATCCATTGTTAAGTAAACTGAATAGACATCCTTTTATATGTGGAAAATTTATTTTACTGAATATTAGCTCTATTTCATTTCTCAGAGAGGCATTTTGAGGAATTAATTTTCAGGAAAAAATTAAACAATTTATACAGAAAATGAAAAGTCTAATTGAAGCCTTTTCAAGTCACAATAATACAAATTAAAAAAAAAAATTAAATAAATAAAAGAAAATATAGTAATATAGCAAGTTTACATTAGGCTTAACACATTATGCACAAAGTAATTGATATCATCGCTAATTATGACTAATTTTTTTTTTATCACTGTTGATTTGTTCCCTATTTGCATGCAATCCTACTTTCCACTATAGGGTGGGAAAAAGTTGACAGGCATGTTCGCAAAGATTCTCAAGAAGCATTTTTACAAGATACTTGCTTTGGCCGTGCATCAGGTAATAGGGATGCTTTTCTGACTCTCACTGGTGCTCCGTGTATTTCCAAATTTCTTCACTGGATTCTTCGAGCCTTTATTTCTTGTCCTAACTGGATAACAAAAAATTAACATGGATGTAAATTGATAGACGTAATTCTGAGAGCAGAGTTTGAATATGTAAATATGTATATCTTGTTTACTCACCTTCTTCTGGAAGCATGATTGTTCACAGAGTTTTTTCTGCTATATTGATAAATCTAACATCTACATTTTCCTTTACTAATTCTTTCAATTAGAATTTGAAATTAGTAACATAGACTTAGCTAAAATTGCTTTCAGATCACTTAGATTTATGTGGATTTTGCAGATATAAAATTTCTGTCACTGTAATATATTGTAAAAGCACTCCACCATGCTGTGTAAAATACTTAGGAGAAAACATAATTTATCTAATTATTTAGTTCCACAAATTGTAAAATAAATTCTTTCATTATAGTAAAACATTGAAATATTACATTTTACAGCTAAAGGAAATAGTGATTGGATAATAATAATATATAAATCATCCAGACTTTCTTGAAATTTTGAAATAATTTAGCTTCCTGGTAAATGTTAAACCTGATCAGATATGTTTGAGAATCTTTGTAATTGTCATTCCTGCTGTGTACTAGACCTGAGATATTATGGGTGTACTCTGTTTGCATGTTGGACCCTCATTGTTGTGTGTCTGGTATTTGTCCACAGGATCCCCTCCTGCATGAAGACAACAACATTCCAGCCAAGACCAAACCTACCTCCACCAAGGTATAATCACACAATCTCTAGTTACTGTCAGATGTTACAGTCTGTGTTCAGTATTGGATTTTACTCTTAAGGCTGTTCACTCACTCTCCAGGCCCCAGGAACATGAGGCCAAGTCTTAGACCCAAGTCAAGATTTCAAACAGTTTATGAAATAAATATTTGTTGTAAATTGATACCTGAAAATTATAATTAATAATAATGAGAAAAGGAAATAAATTCTCATAATATTTTTAATTCTATGTTTTAAAATTTTGTATAATAAAACTTCAGTGAAATAGACAGATTCTGACTTGAGTCTAAATTGCCACACAAAGAGAGTTTAATTTGAATGAAAAGTTACTTACTGAAAATAAGATTTAAACAGCTTTTATTTGAAATAATTTACTGTACATCAAATTAATTCACATGCACTTAGTGAAAATTATTCAAATTAAATTCCAATGCATATTTATTTATTGATGTATTGGCAGAATTAAGTCACAAGCCACATCATGTAGGTGAGCGGATGGGGTGTGGGGTGAATGTTTGAAATATGACCTTGACCCTTGACCTTAAATTAATAAGGGTCTTCCTTGGGCATAAGGAAGTTATGGTATAATATTTTACTGCAAAAGATCAAAAGATTCTTGAGAAATCACAAAGAAAAGTGTTGAATTTAGACAGGATTTATGACATTGACATTTGACCTTTTGACCTCAAAACAAAATAGGCATCCTTCTTAGGCCATAGGGAGTTGCTGTGTCGAATTTCATTGCAAAAGCTTAAAAGCTTCTCCAGATATCCCACTGAAATGGAAGTTTTACATGCAGACATAAATACAGACAGATGGACAGACAGAGTCAGACTGAAAATAATATCCACCACTTTGTGAAGGTTGGGGGGGGAAAAATGGACTTTTTAGCAATTGCAATTAGTGAAGCCTGAGAGCTTCACAATCAGAATATGAAGATTTATCACTTCACGTATGATATCTAACTCTGTACTTCAGCTTGCCCTTACTGCACCTTAAGAACTTCTTGGAACGTATAGTATTCTATAATGTACTTTGATATAGCAAATCCAGCTAATAATGGTCTCCTCTTTTCAGGATGTTTTATTTTCCATGGCATTTGATTTATATGCAAAGGACGGAGGCAATATCAGAATTCCCAGGTAAGGTTCTAGTGGTAATCACCAGGGAAAGGTCAATATTGTGTGATCGAGTTCTTAGAATATTCCTTAGAAATATCAGGAGTTTGTTAAATGATGCTGTTTATCCCAATCCTCACAAGGTTTATGTATCATTCCTGGAGTCAGTGGACTCCTGTGATAATTCTGTGCCATTACCTGATTAAATGACTCTCTGGTTAACCTGGCAACTGGTGCAGCCCTTCTCAATAATGAAATTGCAATAACAGTATTACAATAAAATGTTTCAAACAAGATACTTTATCTTATAAATAGAAATGGAATTACAGTGCCCAGATTATTATGCATCATATTACTACCACCATTAAGGATATTAACCTATAGCTTATGTGACTTTTTGACCCTTTTTTAATATTAACTGCCATCATTGTTAGATTTATTATATACATGTATGTTAACACTGACAGCTTGCAGCTAGTTTAGGCCATTCCAAGTTTTTTCTCTGTTTAGCGTCCACCCATCTTTCAAAAACCTAGCTACCTATTCGCAAAAAAACACACAAGTCAAAAAAATAAAAAAAATAAATAAAACACATATATTTCATAGTAATAAGAATGACGTAATTCAAAAGATATGATTTCATTTATCTATTTTTCATAAAGAAAGTTATTTTCTTCAGCAAAATTGAGGTATTTAATACTGAAACTATTCCAATAATGAAATATTATACAAATATTTAGATATATTGCCGGAAATCACAAATTTTGACCTTAATAATTAATTTACGGACTCCTGATTCTGTTTGTTTTTTCTGATATGGATGTCAAAAACCAAGGCGCACGTGGACGCTAAACATAGAAAGAACTTGGAATGGCCTTATCAAATTATGCATTGCAAGTGCAGTGAAGCTTGTTTATTATTTTTGAGTCTATCATGGAAATTTCAGAAGCATTTTCATCTACCTCTCTTTGTTTCCTTAAATACAAATTGAAACAAAGATTAATTATAAATGGAGTTTACATTACCAGTAACAGAAAAGTTAAGGAATTTTCCTTTCCTTATCAAACAGATAAAATGGATCTGAGACAAACTTTAACCACACTAAGATAGCATTCTTAGTGAGTGAAGATTCAATTTCTTTTTTCAAATCATGTCCCATCCCCCCCCCTCCCCATCCCTTTCATCCTCGAGGGAGGTAAGATGGGACAACTTATATTTAAACTTGTCAGTACTGAACTGATTTCTGCTTTTACTAGCCAAAGAGCCCATGTATGTTATGTGGCCCATGGGCCTCTTGGTTTATAAGACACAAGATTTGCTTTTAAGACTCTTTAAGGCTAGAAAATAATTTCAGCTGAGATTTCAGTCAGCTGGGTACTTGAATTGAGGCCTTCCTCTCAATCCAGACTTTTCAGAATCCCCAAAAAGATGAGTCTTAAATTTGAAGCTCACAAATTAATCTCCATCTCCAATCTTCTATTTTTATCCAGACCAGTGGAATCGACAGAATTCTGGTTGGATTTTCGGTATTGAATGTAGACTTATAAGCTGCATGATTTTTTGACTGGAAATGTACAATAAAATTTTCCGATTAATTATTTCAGTTCAGCAGAAGTGGCGAAATCCCGGAACGCGGAGATAGCCCGGCATGTGGTGCTGAAGGGGTTACCACTTAATATTTCTGAAATTGAAATCGACAAATTGTTTGGCAAAGGAGTGGTAAAATTTAATTTCAAATCTTTTTGAAATCAATTGGAAAAATAACAGTTTTTCTGATCATCATTTAATCCAAAATCCAGTTCATCCAACTGTAAACAATTTTGACTTCTCAAAAACCAAAGGATCATTTGGACCATTATTGGTAAAAAGCATCGAATTCTTCTTCTCAAGAACCACTGAGCCAGAATTGGGAATGAAAATTTACATTGAAATATACATGTATATGAAAAAAAATGTTTAAAATTTAGGTTTCAGGAATACTTAACTATAAAAGGAAAGATAAAACTTTTATAAATGACATGAAGTGGACTCTTAATTGTTCAAGTCATGGAGATGGGTAACAATATGAGATAAGACTTTAACACTGAAATATATTAGAGAAAATCTCTGAAAATCTTCCCAGGTACCACTGGGTGAAAAAAAAATTGAAACCCTATCTAAAAGCTTTCAAAGTGTATATTTTATATCGGCCATGGGGAAGCTTTGGAGCACATTAGGATTATAGCAAACTGTCCAGAGCCTCTTCTTTTCCGTTTAGTTTGAAATTATTTAACTTCTTTTATCTGATTGTATCCATTTATTTATAAAATATAAAAGCCTTAGTTTCATCTTGTATCTAATTATTGCATTAATTCTTTAAAGAAAAACAGTTTCTCTGTTCAATGTTTCACTTCTCTGTCAGACATCTGGCTAACTGAAGCTATCTAATGTTTTTTTCTCTCATATATAACTTATAATAAAGAATACATTGTTTTAACCTACAGGAATTTGAGGATGAAGGATTTAAAACCAAAAATATGCTGTGTATGCCAATATTTAACAATGAAAAGAAAATCATTGGTGTTACCCAACTAGTCAACAAATTAAATGGTGTACCATTCAATGAAAATGATGCAAATATTATTGAGGTAAATATTTCATGGTAAATTTTAATTGAAACCAAAATTAACTTGTAAGTGATTCTTGAATAATTTTATTGTTTTTTCTCTATCAGGCTTTCTCTATTTTTACTGGACTTGGTATTCATAATTGTCAAATGTATGAGAATGCCTGTCGGTTGATGGCCAAGCAATCTGTGGCTCTAGAAGTTTTATCCTACCACGCCACTGCTCAACAGGAGGAGACAGACAAGCTAGTGGTAGGAGTTTTCAAACTGTCCCCCCAATACTTTTTTATCATTGTGTTTTGTCAAATTGTTTTTATGATCATAAGATATAGTTATTTTTAATGATTTACTTTTCTTTGTTGACTGTTAGGTTAGCCAGTTTCCCTCTGGTAAGGACCTTGGTCTGTATACGTTTGAGTTCAATGACATTCCTCTGGATGAATTGGAGACGGCCAAATGCACCATCACAATGTTCACCGAGGCCAATCTCTTGTCAGAATTCAAGATTCCTTTAGAGGTATGTTAGGATGATATGAAGGACTATATTACAATAAAAATTCATTTTAGCTCAATTTCATGATAAACAGATTCAAAAGTATGGGATTTTTTTTCTCTTTTAGGTGATGTGTCGTTGGACATTAAGTGTGAAGAAAAATTACAGACCTGTGACGTATCATAATTGGCGACATGCCTTCAATGTTACTCAGACAATGTTTACTATCTTATATGTAAGTTAACAGAGATTGATTTCATGATATTTGAAATATCAGTATTTATCAGAATGGTAGCATTGATAAGCAGCATTCATTTTTCTTAGACTGGAGGAATGATAAAGAAATTTGATTCCATTGAGGTGCTAGCCCTTCTTGTTGGTTGTTTATGCCATGATTTGGACCACAGAGGAACTAACAATGCATTCCAAGTCAAGTAAGCTGCAAGCTCTGAACTTCAGTAACTTGTAAAATTACAATCTGTCTATGTGTGCCTTTATAAACATTTGAACATTATCAGCAAAAGTACTTCAAAGTCTTTTTTTTTATAAATGGGCATCTGCTACCTTTGCAAACTGTTTGCAAACTAGTTTTTAATAAGCGAAAGTCTGTTGGTTAAGATTTGAATTGTGTGCCCCCTTGTGCAGGATTTAAGTCAACATTGTCAGGCTAGACTTTAAGTTGTTCATCTTATTTATACTTACACATGGCACCTGGGATCATGAAACATCTTTTAAAAGCTTAAGTCAAACTCTTAATGTTGCACTAAAATGTTTTAGAAGTCAAGCAAAAAGTAAAAATTTCTCCCAAATTGCTTTATATTTTGTTGTTATCTGCAAAATTAGAAATAAATTCCATGACATACAGACATTTTACAGGCCATTGAAAGTTTGACTTAAGTCTATAAATCTGTTTCAGGGTTCTTGGACATCCTTATTATTTTATCTTCTATACTTTTCAGTGAAAACATGTGGCTAGTTGTTTAATAATAATAATATATTTGCATTTTATTCTGATCGATGATAAAATGCAGAATTTTTTGTTTTGTAACAGAGTGGCCTCCCCTTTAGCAATGCTGTACAGTACATCTGTTATGGAACACCACCATTTTGATCATTGTATCATGATTTTAAACAGTGAGGTATGTCCTGTGGTAGTTTTCATAATTCCAGTTATAAAATTTAATTTTTTAAAAGTAATTTTTGCTTAGTAATGTAAAAGTTTTAGCCCTTCAAGCTTTATTGGATATTTGATCTGACAAGTGATCAATAATGTTTACATTAGATTCTATATTTCTTAATTGAAATATCACTCTGTCATTCATTCGATCAGTAAAGCATTGTGCAATATTTTTTTTAATGACTAAAGAACTGTTTATAGATGCTTCTCCATTCTCTCCCAATTAATGGGAAAAGTGTTGTTACTTTTCAGAGATAAATGTAAAACTGAAAAATTATTATTCACTTGTTTACTTTCCTGATTTTTTACCAGAGGGGAAATCTTACGTGTTATTTTTTTTTTGTTTTAGGGAAATAACATTTTCCAATCACTATCCCCTACACAGTACAGAACTGTCATTAAGATGTTGGAACACGCTATTCTCTCGACTGACTTAGCTTTGTATTTCAAGTATGTAAGGTTTCATCAATGTGTAGCAGAGGAAAGATTTATTTCAATTGTCTTTTTTATTATCTAAACAGTTTGATTTTATACAGCAGAAATAATTTTATCTAAAATCTGATGAGATGTGTAATTATATCAAAATGCAGGAAAAGAGGAGACTTTCAAAAGCTTGTACAGGAAGGAGAAACAGAATACAAGGAGCCATACAAAAAGGATTTACTTAAGTGAGTGTAAAGCCATACAAAAAAGACTAACTTATAAGTAAATCTAGAGTCATACCAAAAAGAGTTACTTATAAGTAAATCTAGAGCCATACAAAAAAGATTTACTTATAAGTAAATGTAAAGCCATACAAAAAGTTACCTATAAGTAAATCTAGAGCCATACAAAAAAGAGTTACTTATAAGTAAATCTAGAGCCATACAAAAAAGAGTTACTGATAAGTAAATGTAAAGCCATACAAAAAGAGTTACTTATAAGTAAATGTAAAGCCATACAAAAAAGAGTTACTTATAAGTAAATCTATAGCCATACAAAAAAGAGTTACTGATAAGTAAATGTAAAGCCATACAAAAAAGATTTACTTATAATATTAAGAGTCACACAGAAAAGAGTTACTGATAAGTAAATCTAGAGCCATACAAAAAAAGAGTAACTTATAAGTAATTGTAAAGCCATACAAAAAGAGTTACTTATAAGTAAATCTAGAGCCATACAAAAAAGAGTTACTTATAAGTAAATGTAAAGCCATACAAAAAAGATTTACTTATAAGTAAATCTAAAGCCATACAAAAAGAGTTACCTATAAGTAAATCTAGAGCCATACAAAAAAGAGTTACTGATAAGTAAATGTAAAGCCATACAAAAAGAGTTACTTATAATATTAAGAGTCACACAGAAAAGAGTTACTGATAAGTAAATCTAGAGCCATACAAAAAAAGAGTAACTTATAAGTAAATGTAAAGCGATACAAAAAAGAGTTACTGATAAGTAAATGTTAAGCCATACAAAAAGAGTTACCTTATAATATTAAGAGTCACACAGAAAAGAGTTACTGATAAGTAAATCTAGAGCCATACAAAAAAAGAGTAACTTATAAGTAAATGTAAAGCGATACAAAAAAGAGTTACTGATAAGTAAATGTTAAGCCATACAAAAAGAGTTACCTTATAATATTAAGAGTCACACAGAAAAGAGTTACTGATAAGTAAATCTAGAGCCATACAAAAAAAGAGTAACTTATAAGTAAATGTAAAGCGATACAAAAAAGAGTTACTGATAAGTAAATGTTAAGCCATACAAAAAGAGTTACCTTATAATATTAAGAGTCACACAGAAAAGAGTTATTTATAATGTAGAGCCATACAAAAAAGTTACTTATAATGTAAAGCCATATAAAAAGAGTAACTTATAATTAAAAGTAGAGCTGTACAAAAAATATTTACTTTAAAAGTAAGTGTATAGAGCTGTACAAAAAGGAATTAATTACTTAAGTAAAAAATGTAGAGCCATAAATGATTCAATTAAGTAAGTGTAGAGGCATACAAAGCGCCGTACAAAAAACATTTTCTTATGTAAGAGCCATGATACACAAAGATTATTTAAGAAGTGTAGAGCCGCACAAAAAAAAGACATACTTAAGTTAACGTAGAGCCATACACAAAGATTTACTTAAATAATAGTGTAGAACTGTACAAAAAAGATTTACTTCTAGTAAGTGTAGAGTAGAACAAATTAGACTAACTTAGGTATTAGTGTAGAGCCTACATAAATATTTATTATTATTAATTATTAAAAGGCCCTTTTATGATTGGCGCATGAGCGCTTTACAACACTTAGCGATCGGAAAATTTTAGCTTCGCACGAGCTCTTGCATACGTTGTACGATGTTTCGCATTCGTTGCATGCATTTTAGTGGTCGCATCAAGTCTCCTCAAAATGTACACTATTCAGACGCGACCAAATGTGCGATCCACATTTATCGCAATTCAACACACGAATATTAGTATGAGCGTCTTACAACATTTTGTTTACTCGCAAGAGTGATGCACGATTTTTAAAGGTCGTAAGATGAATCGCAGCTGTATAATTATGCGTGAGTTGTGCGACCATGAGACTTTTGCTCAACGTGTTACATGTAATCTTGCAATGTTTTACTATGCACGATTTATCAGCTTCAATTTCCCATGCTTTGCCACTAGTAAACCCTGTATAAGCATCTCTGTTTCAGACCACAACTGACTGGTCTGGTGGCTCTTCCCCCTCGTCGACAAGCTCAGGCGGATTATGAACAGGGCTCAGCTGCTACGGCAGGTCCTGGGCCTCCTCCTCCTCCTGGGCCTTTTTTCTACAGTTTACCTTGGCTTTACCAGTAGATTTGTCATCTTTTTGGGCAGCATCTCTTGCATTCGACTGATGAGGGTCGGAAACGGATAGTATATATATATATTCCCCTTCTCACTCGCTCGATCATTCATACCATGAAATGCATGATTGCACGAGCGCCTTACATCCAGTCGCAATGGTGCAGGTTCAGTCGTCCGATCACCTGATCACTCACACGATCCTTTCGCATTATCTTACAACACTCGCTTTCATTGTACAACAGTCGCATATAGACGCAAGATATATCATAAGATTTAATGCACAACAGTTGCTTTAGATTTTGCAAATTTCGTACGAATACTTTTTCATATGCGATTATTTCAGCAACAGGTTACAATCCAAATCAAAGTTTTTCGGTCGCACGAATATTTTGTCGCTTCTGCTCTTGCGCCAATTGTGAAAGGGTCCTAAATAAGCACAGAGCCATATAAAGAGCTGTACAAAAAGGATTTCTATGAGTTATTGTTAGGTAGTACAAAGAGTGGTACAAAAGCCATGTGAAAATGATTTACTACTAAGTAAGTGTATAACAGTACAAAGTTGGGTTATATTGATGTACATAGTGTTTATTCCCTTTTGTAGAGCTATGATGATGACGGCATGTGATGTAGCAGCCATCACTAAGCCGTGGGAAATACAAGAAAAGGTGGCTCAGTTAGTGGCCAATGAATTCTTTGAGCAGGGTGACAAGGAACGAAGTGAACTGGGAGAAACTCCTATGGTTGGTTTCAAATCCTCATTATGATAAACAAATATCAATGTGATTTTAAGTGCACTAGCCTCTCTAACTATTGATGACTTTTTTAGGCAATGATGGATAGAGAAAAGAAGGATGAGCTCCCTAAAATGCAAGTTGGATTCATTGATGCAATTTGTCTTCCAATATACAAGGTTTGTTTTATGAGAAATACTTTTCTTTAATTAAAAATTTGCAAGCTTTATGCTGTTTACAGAAATTTATTAACATATATTAAAGAAAAGAAAACTAGCCCACTGAGATATAATGATACTTATAGTTATTTTATTTGGTAATAAAATAATATTTTCTTTTGTCATATTTCACTTGAAAGATATAGATAATCTTTTCTCTATATATGGTTTCCTCAAAGTTTTAAATTGATCTTAACTTCTATAATTTCGAAGAAAAAGAAAATAGGTTTAAAAGGTCCTTCTGTTACTTTCATGATATTTGTGGTCAGTCTAACAGTTTCAGATCATTTCAGTAAGTGTTTTTTAAGAACATTAATGACAATGAATCTGTTTTCTGCTGAACTACATAAATATCAATTACCTTTTACTAAGCCCTTACTTGACTGCAACTAATGCAATTCCTAGAAAATAAGGATTTCCATTACACAAAAACTGGAAAAAAAAATTACAAATCTCTTCATTACATGTATAACGCTGGAACAAAAGACCCTAGAAGAAGTGCCGATTTTTGAATCAGTTTGGATATTCAGTTTGATCTCAGGTTAATCTTTAGATCTTGTAAGCTTATCCTCTTACCTTGAACAGACATTGGCAGAGTTGTATGGAGATTTGAATCCATTGCTAGAAGGATGTTTGAAGAATAAAGAAAAATGGCAGAATCTGCAGTCTCATTCAGTTCAACTTGGTGCTATATTTTTTCAATTGTTCAATTGTTTTGCACTTACGTAGGATGTTTGGCCCTGGCACTGTTTGCTGTTCCGACCCCTCAGAATGTTTGTGACCCTCTTCCAAAGTTGTTGTGCCCTTCTGTTGACAACAATTCCTGAAAAATTGATAATTGTTGATTTGCTGTTGTAATGGGGGTGTATTCATTTGCAGAGTTATTCAAGAAATACCCAAACTCAGAGAAACATCTGATTTCCAGAAAAATGTCCGTTGTAATTTGTAGTTCTGAGCATGTTGTTGTCCCCAAATAGAGTTGGCAGAAAAACTACCCTTGAACAAATTAGGTTTCTCTGTGTATGAAGTTTTTCTGTTGTTGATTACCTGTATTCTTGCCAATGACAGATGTTTGCAGAGATGAATCAGAATCTGCGCCCCTTGTATGACGGTGTCTTGGACAATAAGAAACACTGGCAAGAGTTAGCTGAGAAACACGAAAGTAAGACGTCAAGGAAGAAAAATGGTTAGCACCCTATGTGTTTGCCCGTTGTTGTATTGGTATATTTTGTTGTTCACTAATATATCACACAGCCTGCTGTGATTTATGATAAATTAATCTTCAACTTTGTTATGCTTTTACAAATAATTTTATTACTAATCTTACACCACATTATTTTTTATTAACTTTTTGCACTTAGATTAATATACATTAAAAATAAATTAATACCTAAAAAATATTTTATGTATTTTGCTATATAAATGTTATTGTATGCAGGTGATTATAATGACACATAAAGTGTGTAGTGGACTATCTAGAAAAGATTAAATCATATTGAAAGTCAATATTGTTCAAGCTTGTAAATTCGGTGATTTTGAAGATAAAATTGTAATACAATAAAGCATATTTTTTAAAAATTCATATAACTGAGTATACTGTTTGAAATAGGAAATTTTGTTGTGTTTTTGTTCTAGTCAGTCATGAGAAAGTAGTATTTATAAAAGATTATATAGCATTTTTATTTTTAGTAAATGTAACACTGGGGGATTTTTCTCTTCTTTAAATTTATAATATGTTTGTTTTTTTCTCAAATATTTTTTTATTTAAACATACCACTTTATTATATGGAATCTGATTGCAAAGAAATATTCGTATCACAATAAAAGTAAGAATTTGATAGAGCATTACAACATAAAAAAAATCAGAGGGTTTTGAAATCCTTCTGAATAGTCGGAAAGACAGTCTAGGGCAGCAAATATGACATTATCTTGAAGAACGTTTCATTTCAATTTATCCAGAAGAATTAAGGTATGTGACTCCAGATATTGGATGTATTTCGATTTTTTTTCAGATATATATTTTAGATATTGTTTAGCATATTTCAAAATCGTAACCAAAAAAATTAGGGCCCATTTAATCAATCATGACACTCATTATAACCCTATTTATGCAAAATAGCTTAACTGGTGTGTATTTTGAAATATATGTGTAGAAATGCACACAAATTCTTATTGACTGTTTTGCATAATAATCATATTTGAGTTATTTAAAAAAGTGTTCGATTTTTGTTAACCGAGTGCTGATCACTTTATATACTAGTATTGTGCAGTTTCATATACTCAGTATAATATAAAAAGTTGTGCAAAAAATGTAAATTTAAGATCAGGGTCAAAATAGGTAGATCATAAACTTTAAAACAAGGTTAATTTAATCCTGAAATGTTCAATACATCTGCACTATTTTGGCAAATACATGTATGGAAAAATAATTCATTTTCCCCCCTTAAATTTCATTTGAAATCGACTGAAACATAGAACATTCCTAAAATGTTAAAAATGTCTAGGGGTAAAACTATGTAGAGTACGTTTAAGTTCCAACAAATTGAAGTAAAGAAATGTGTAGATTTCAAGAATTTTTCCTGTTTATCCTAGCTTCCACCGTGAGAAACAGTCATCCGTAAATCATTTCTGAACAACTTATTGGGTGGTTTTTTTCATTAAATATAACATACCTTGATCTAAATAAATGATTGGAAAAATAAATAATTGTAAATAAAAAATTCTAAAGCCTGCCTTTTTTGTGACCTTTGCTACATAATGGAAAAACAAGGCACAGTTTTATGTCAGTTTCAATGTGTTTCAGTTATGAGAAGCAAAAATTAAGAATAAAATCAAGAAATACTACTAAATTGTGTTTTAAGATTAAACAATTTCCCAAATATTTACCCAGATGACGAAACTCCGCCTGAGCAGGAATCTCACAGCCCCGAACAAAATGGGATCTCTCAGAAGCCCGATATAGCAGAACAAAAGAGAAAGGTCCTTCATTTACATTCAGTTTAGTTCCACCCTCTTAGTTCCACCGCTTAGTCTAGCAGCTTTCAGTTAAATATATTTATTTTATTCTTTTGTACACTTACGTTTATGTCTGCATGGTTTTCAGTAGTTTATGTTCTGTTTGACCTTTAATTCTACTTTGATTCTTTTTGTTCCAGTTTTGAATGTTGATAAATAACAATGAGAAAGACCTGCTAGATTACATATATATCATATGCTGTTATCCTTTAATACTGGCTTTGAGGACCAATTCAGTGAACAGCTATTTCCTGCATACTGTACTTGTTTTTTCAAGTGATGGCAATAGGCATGTTTTTTTTTTTCACATCTGATTTTAGACAACCTTGGTAACTATTGCAGATTTACACTAATTCCTACTGTTTCTTGCTGGTTATTCCTTGTATTTTTTATCTCTCATTTTAATTTTACGCTTTGAACTCGTTGTTTTGTTTTCTTTTCCTATGCTTAAATGATTGTTCGTTAATGACAGTTTTGCATTCCATTGTGAATTTCATGTAATGATAAAATATAGTCCACTTAACAATGATATAAAAGATTTGTATAATGTGATATTATACACTGGTATATACCGTTTAAAATTGTTTGTCCTTTTAGGAACATGACATGCAATGTGAGAAGAAAGTTCATATGCAGGATCCCAAGAAAACCAAAATCTGTGTTCTTCTATGATGGTGGGGAATTACCATCCATTTAGGAAACAAAAATGGCCATCTTAATATTTATTTAAGTATTCTTCCTAGAACGAAGTTGTACTTAATTCAAAGAGTTTTATCTTTTGTACTCAGTGTTACTGTAATGCTGGTTTGATTTGAATTTTATGGAAACTGAAACCCAATTTGACCATGACCCTTTCACTTACTGCATGTAGAATATATACATGTATATAGGTATACAATCTTACGTGTAGCATAATGTAATTCCTAACATAATGATGGATTAGATCAGTGTTTTGATATCGTTTTATCTCTTTTGAAGAGATACACTACTTTGTTGTTGGCATGTTTATATAGATTCTACATTCTAGTTGGTTAACGAATGACTAAGTTGTACAATTTATTGTTTCTTCTTGTGTTACGTTGTTATATTTCTTATTGTAGAAAGGGTAGTAAATACCCGAGTTTTATATTTGAAGCTGTGATAAAATGTAGTGATTTCTGGTTGATTTAACAACTAGAAATATTAATATGTTTAGATATTACATTGCGTAATTATTTAACATTAGATGAACCACAAGGTGTATTTCGTATATAAAGACTGTTAATGTTTTACGCAGCACTGCAAGTGTACCAATATACAAAAAAGGTTAACACTTTAAATGAGATCTACAGACAACTATCTGAAGAAAAAACTTTAACATGAAAGTGACTAAGCAGTATTCAATTTTATAATGGTTTTACAAGAGTAGATGAAAAGCAGAAACACGTGTAATTTAAAATGTTGAGATCAGATTAAATAGAAGTAAGTTTAGCATTTTCAGATTTCATTACACTAGAGAAACATTGCACGACATATTGATTATTCTACCTGTCTCTTCTATAAATGGTTATGACTGTATGGTTCTATGTCATATATCATCTCTCAGAATGTATACGTGTGTTATAAAACCCTTACTGTTTATTTCCGATGATATTTTCTGATTGATATTATATAAACATCAATGACCTGATGTTTAGCATTATACGTTTGATACAGAGATGCAAATGCGACAGTTATTTATTGGGAAGTATTCATTTTGTCACTATTACGAAATATCAGATGCATTGTAGTTCGATGTAACGTCTAATTTATTTTCAAGATGTCATATTGTTGGTAGTTGTTATTAACAATAAATGGTTGACGAAATTACATGTATGTTCTTGTTTTTGTTTATGTTAAGAAAATAATTAGGGTACCGCAATTTTCCTAACAGTTGCATACTTAAATGTGGATCTTATGATAAAAAAACGCGAAAAAAGACGTTGAATGGATATTGATCTATCACACGGGTCAAAGAACGAGATTTGGAAAATAAAATAACTGGACAGGTACTTATAAAAGATAAAAAGTGAAAGCAACATGAGTAATTCATATTGACTTGTCATGCCTGCACTGAGCCTTTTGCTTTGATTAATTAAAGGGATTACTGATCTGTAGTCAAAATAAGTATAAAAGCAATAGCTCAACAATTGCTATGAAATTGAGACGTAAAATTAGGTTTTCCAAATTCGATCATTATAACGAACTTGGAATTTGCTAATTGTTGATTTTTAAGAAATCTGTTGAAAGTCCAACAGTCTGATGCAACGTCAACATTTAACAGAGGCCAGTTTCGGCCTAAAATTAAAATAGGAACAAGCTCTTGCGTACCAAATCGCTTGGTAGTCATAAATGCCATTTGAAGATGTTTTGCATTGCTACATGAATAGGGAAATCTTGGAAAGCAATATATTTTTTTTACAACAGCGTAACGTTTTTTCATACTAATTTTATTTAGACCAACAGACTGAATTGTCGTCGAATTTTCCCGTTGTTTCCTGATCTCGACAAGGAGCACACGGTGGATGTGACACCCTCTTAGGGAATGCTCACTCCCCCAGTGCTCCTGATCCTATCTCTGATGTTTAAGAAATACCCGTTTTATCTGTCCCTTATTTGTATTGCTTGAATGGATTTTTGATCTTGAATACTCGCCTGGAGACATATGTATTGAGCGAGTAAAGGGAATATTTCGTAGTCAGATTAAGTACAAACACAAAGGTCTAACAATTGATATGAAAGAAGTCAGCCATGATAGGTTATAATTGCTAATAATTGAGATACCACAGAGTCTGACACATCTTTTTCATACTTGGATATTTTATTTGAAAAAGACGTTAATGGTAATCTAACAACCAAGCTCTATGAAAAAAAAAGTGATGACTAGCTTTAACTTTTCAATCGTCAACTTCCCTTACCTATGCAGCAATATACCTTCATCACTTGCATACGGAGGATATATATCTCAGTTGATTCGATACGCAAGAGCATGCTCTACGTATGAACAATTGCTAAAACGAGGTAAATCATTGACAAGCAAGTTGATGAAACGAGAATATCAGCAGTCTCGTTTAAAGTCATCATTTCGTAACAGACTCTGTGGTTTCTTTTATCTCAAGCTCACTAGGAGATAAAGTATCGACATAAGAATGGAAATTACCTATGTTAATTGACAGTACGAGGGTCATTCAAAAAATACGTAGACAATGCTTCTCATCGTCATATGATTACTACAAGATAATAGATCAACACATTTTCGTAAACATAACATTTATTTTGTCGAAGTGTGAAGTTTCATTCCATTTGATTAAATAGAACTCATGTTAGCCAAAATTTAAAGCAACATGTTTTGTTACCACGGAGCACGGTTAACCAACATTGTAACGTCAAAAACAACGCTGAGAAAGTTTGTCAAAATTATACTCTTATTTTTTTAATTTCAAACACGGTTTGTAACGTCTTCTCCATTCAAAAAACATATCCATAACACTTAACACTTAGTTTGCTAAAAATTGTACAAATAGCTTGAATTATAATGTCATTGTTTTCAAAGAAGAAGGTATGGTTTTAGCTATATTGCGCCCTAAAAATGTATTGACATCAAAAAGTTTTGAAACTGGCTTAAATATTAGTTAAATAAATGACTCTGATAAATCAGGAAAGAATATGGCGTGAAGGTTTACCATTCTGCAAATATGACGTCATTAATCTGAAGCATTTCTCTATTTTCAACAGAAAAAGCCTCAAAATGGCACATTTCAAGGGTGATTTTCCTTTAGAAAACAATGTCCACAGCCGTCGCCCACGTTAATTTTTTGATATTTTGTGCAAAATTCAATAACAAATTACATATCTCAAGATCGTTGTGGGCGATGCCTGTGGACAATGTTTTCTGAAAGAAAATTCCATTGAAAATTGGTGTCTTCTGCAACTTTTTAAGAAAATACGGGAAAATGCACATGTTTATGACGTCATAATTAGCATTTGAAAACACATGTGAGAAAAATGACTTGTATGATTTTTCTGCATTGAATTTCAATTATTTAAAAAGCATGAGTTTTCAACTTTTACACCGGTTTCATTTTTTAGAAAATCACAGGGCAAAATTTGTATGGAAACCATACCTTCTTCTTCTTTAATTTACCATGTTACTCTATTAATTCTGCAATAGTGAAGCACACATCACGTTCATTGACGTTCCTAACTCTTTTGACAATATTTTTAACTTTAACCTGTTTCTTTGCAGACAATCCATCGGCCGATTCAAACTCGCTACCACTCAAAAATTGTATTTTCCATTTAATACAATTACACAGATTATTGTTCATACAGATCCTGGTTTATACAGATGTTTTAAGCTTCTAGAAGAAGTTTCCCGAATGTAAAGTACAATTTTATTGCTATTTGATGCTCCGTGACGTCCTCCAACGTCATGGTTTTTTTGCCTTTTTAATCAAGTCCATATGTATTTATAAACTGATATCTTTTAAATGGAGCGACATTTTACATAACCTGATTTCCTTTTAATTAATACAGCAATACTTTATTTAAACATGTAAATTTTATTTCGCTTCAGCTTTATTTATAAGAGGTATGGCTGTAAATACTATAAAGTGAAAATTAGTAAATTACTCAATTTTGACGGTGTTCCGTGACCCTATTTTTGCTGTTCTAAATCCTTGGTAATTTTAATAAATATGATGAAGATACATTCCATTTTTTTTACTAAAATTATTTGAATCTGTTGTTAAAATATTTGTATCAAATTTGGATATAATATGACGTTAAATAAATAAGTTAGGACAAAAGTCTACGAACTTTTTGAATGACCCTCGTACGTCGTCAATATATCTAAATGTAGAGTTGAAGGCCACAGCAAGTGTTTTCTTCTTTTCACGCATAAGATTATGCACAAATTCTGCTTCTTAGGAATACAAAAATAGGTCTGCTAATAACGGGGGGGGGGGGGGGGGCAATTGGTACCCATGGGAATCCCAGTATATTGTTGGAAGACCTGGTCTCCAAAAACCACATAGATATTGTCAATCAGAAACTCAAGCATTTTTTTTTATGTCAACTTCAGAGTACTTGTGTGTACAATCAGAATGATTTTTTAACAAAATAATTTTGCAAATGACTAATGACAAGATAAGTAATTTTACGAGTTCCATTATTATTGAAAAAGTAGCTGTCAATGATATCAAAAAGCCTGGACTTTAATTTTTCGTGGGGAATGGTTGTGTATAAAGTTCAAAAGTTGTAAGCTTTTTAAGCTGTTGTTTTGGTGAAATCTTGTGATTTCAAATTGTCCAAAAGTTCCTTGGAACTTTAAGTATCCAGATCTGATTTACACCACTTCTTGAATATATTGTTGCACTGTACTCTTAAAGTTTCTCCTTCACTACTGCTAATATCTTTGTGAGGAGTAAAGAAAGAGGCTTGGTTGAACATTTACTGGAACCCGCTATGTATCTTTGTAAGGATTCTTATAAAGTTTTGGAATGGTTGTCCCGTAAAATCGTGGACAATATATATATATATATATATATATATATTATGAAAATATATATATGCATAAATAAACAAAATATCAAATTTTATATGTATTGTATCGCCCTACGGCGCACGGATGATAACGTCAAAGTGTCTAAAACTGCGTCAGGTTTTATCTTTGTTAAAAATAAAGTTGGATAAGTCCCATTTAAATTTATATATTTCATTGATTCACATACGTGAGTGTCTATAACCAGTTAAAGTACCAATCTGGCACATACATGCAATCTTCTGAAGATTTACTATGAAGTTACGGACAGTATTCTCACCATCAGTCAACTAACAGACAATCTCATATCACCGGTCGACAGTGACAGCGTCTTTTGCTATTACAATAACAGTTTGTCCGTATGTTTTGTACTACCTGCAGGGGACTCGATCAAAAAGACTTCGCTAAAAAACGTCCATTTCATTTATATACTAAAGATCTGGTGATTTTTGTCATATTTTCTTTCGTCTGTATTCATTTAAAGTCGCATAAGGTGTCATTAAAACATCCTAATCTAACTGAACTGCTCTCCGGTGCGCCGTAACGTCATCAATAATCGCAATTTTTCGTATATTGTGTTTACCACTTTCCCATTTCGAATGTTCTGGAAACTGCCAAAAATTAACCAAATACCTTGAAATTTTTATAAAGACGTCAAAATTGATTAATGAATCGAATTATGATAATTTTTATCCCAATCTTATGTATTGAAAACTTTTATTCCGACTTAATTTTTGTGTATTCTCTAACATAACCTTGTTATTTTTACCGTGCGCCGTAGGACCGTACCCTGTGCACATTCAAGCATAATAAAATCTTTATTTTTGTCTATATATTATCAAAAACATAAGGATGCACTAAAGTATGATGAATAAACATTTACTGAAAATTTCAGCTTAGTGCACCAATTACTTTTCGAGAAAAGCGCTTTGTCCACGATTTTACGGGACAACCCTCGTATATATATATGGTAAATCTGAATGCGATTTGAAGGCCAAGGCAAATGTTTTCCTCTTTTCATGGAGAATACGTTTGCTTCACAGGAATATTAAAAGTTCGGCTATTACTTTAGAGTTATCCTTCTTTAAAAGCCAAGTCTTTAATCATAGTAGGTTTATATATAATAGATATGTTCATTTTTATTCCCACTGGGTAGTATTGAATTCATGTAAGATAAAAATGATGGAATGTTCCCGACGTATTGTCTTTTCCTAGAACAGGATTTTTGTCAATTACAAAATACTCCTTAAAATACGGTTCTTCTCTGGTTTCTGACTAGATGAAACAT